AACAATTTTCTCTATCGAATGGTTGTATTAGAAGTTCAAATCCAACGGGGAATCTTTTTTCCAGGCAGTACCCAATATGTCAAACGAAAACTCATCTGATCGGTCAATTGTTGACCAACCAGCTTTCGATATTGCTTAATAAAGAATATTATTCTCTTTCGAATGTTGAAAACCGCAGGTCTCTAGCTGCTCCCTAATCCGGAGTTATTCAACTTACAACCGACTCCACTATTCATTGAAATGGATAGTAATTTAACTAATAAACACGAATAGTTGCATACCTCATCGTATTCTTTAAATGAATGTTTGTACCATTTTAAAATTCCGTTATTAGAGCAAGAAGAACGAGGATCAACACCGATACGAAGAAAATAATCGATAAACGCTGCTTTCTTCTCCTTTACCGCAAGTTCGAATAATCTTGGAAGCAGATCCTGAATCACACGATCGTGCGAATTCTCAATTACAAAAGAAAAGGTAAAGTTTATTTACACGAACGACGGTTTCTTTCATCAGCCAACTCCGTTTTCGTTTCGATTGAATCATTTTCTTTGCACCATCTAGACAATTCCATTTAACTGCAAGATCAAGAAGATCTGTTTGGCTATCGTCCGATTTGAGGTCGGTATTTGTTCTCAAACGACTGTCGCTTAGTAAATCATCATTGCTAGCAGTATAAGCTATATAAAGATGACATTAGTTCATTTTTCATGACTAAAATATGACCTACCCGAAAAGATGGCATTAAAAATAACCTCCGCTACACTTTTATCTCTATCCAATCGAAATACATGCAAATATTCTCGATTATTAGGTTTCAGTAGTTCAATAATCTGTGTCACACTCGTTTTGAATTGATCATCAGTGAAATCATCAAATAGACGTCTTTCTCCACTGGAGAACATTGTACGGAGATGAGTATCAATTTCTTCTTTTGTGTAGTTCCTAAACTTTAGTTGTTAATTAACTGAAACACGATGTTTTACAACATGTACCTTTTGAGCTCCAGTAGTATAGCCAGAACATCAGCCATCTGCCCACTGCCCTATTCATAATTACAAACACCTGTGTTAATCATAATTTTTCAAAACATTTTGTTGATTTTTACCTGTATGATGACGATTGGACGGTGTGCTCGTATATCGTTACTAATAACTTCGAGTGTGTTTTTTCCACCCTCTACAATAATTGTTACCGGATAACCTGTGAGGAAAAAGCAGTTATTTTAATAAGATTTCTATATGTAAATGAGAATTAGACCAACTCATGTTCAATTACACACAGTATTTTGAATGATGTGGATTATCTGGATCATTGAGATCGTTCACAGCTGCTTGGACAAAAGCAGATCGTTGATAATCGCTTAAATATGTGTTCAATTGCCCATTGTCAAACATCAACGAATAGGTATGATTCCATTCAAGCGTTTCACTGTCCCTCAAGTTCAGTAATTTTGTTCCAATAATATTCTGTTCCGCTTCATTTTCGGTGATACACTAGAAAAACTGTAAGATATAACTCGCCGAAAAAGTATGCAAAAAATTTCAAATACTATTTGTTTAAATAAACTCCTCGTTTTTTCTGTTAAACTTCCCCATTGAGTTAATCCAATGGCAATCACTTCTTTCTGCTGTTTTGATAGCAAACGAGATTGAGCAATACCATCGCCAACTAACTTAGCTACTCCACTGTTTAATCCTGTTGTTAGTATCCATGCGTCTAAAAAAACACGCACAAGATAACTCATGAAATTTCTTAAAATATTACTTACCCGCAATTGTTGCTACGTGCACGATACCTTTCATAAACTCTGTCTCTAGACGTTCATTCATTTGAAAATATTTAGCTCCACCATACACACTCATTATCAAACTTGGCGTCTTCTTGCAATCATTGACAATTAAATCGTACAAAACGTTTAATTTCGTTCGATTATCACAGCGAAGAAACTAAAGATCAATCCACATTTCGTGATTTTGATCTGACTAGTGGGTGGGCCAGAAATAATCACACACTTTTATTCTCTTTTCTTCCAAATATAACCGAGGTTCGAAGATTCCATTCTAAACTCATTCGATAGTGAATTTTCTGCTCTACAAAATCCATTACTTTCTTTTATTCCATATTATTTCATTATTTTAAAAAGTAGTGCAAAGTAGGAACAGGTAAGAAGAATAACTGCGACGGAAGGAACAGGTTATAATTATTTTTGTACCTGATCTAATTGATTATTTAATAACGCTTCTGTTAGCTATTCATCACAGATACTATGCGTAACCCCAGGTCAAAGGTTCACCATCGTATACTATACTATTTCCTCGTATTTTGACGTAAACTCGGTCAACGTATTACGTCCATCGTAAACGACATCGTTTTCGTTGAAATAAGACAAGATACGACGATCATAACGGTTGATGTAATACGTTGGCCCAGTTTACGTCATAATACGACGAAATAGCATAGTACACGTCACATTATGACAGTGTAATTTGATGGATACGACCGTTTACGACAGTCGTAACTAGAGATGAGATGGTGTTCGTAAGAAACCACTATCATTCACACATTTCGTAAGACGTAGACGTTTTTTCTTTCCTTTCTATATATGCCTAACGTTTGACTATGGAACGAGATAAATAGAGCTGCGAAAAATAGCGTTTTCTTTTCTTTTCTTCTTTTCTATTTTCTTTTCTTATTCACGTTATATATAGTGTGTGCTCACGTTGCAATGTACGGTACACATATATAACATACATTAAGACTGTTGTCTGTGTAGAGTGATGTCACGTTTCTTTC